ATAGAGCAATGTGCAATAAATACACTTTAGCACATTAATTCTTATAGTTTTTTCTTCTCTTTTTAAGCTGCCGCATAATCAATGTTAAAAGTGTACTCAAATGTCTCTTTCATGTTTTAAAATGTTTCATGTTGATTTTGAAGACGGAGTTCCTCTTTAGGAATCTCTCTGTCACAGGTCAGGTGCATGCCGGTGTAAACAGGAAGCAGAACAAAAATAATGCGGCAGGGAAACATCACTGCTCTTCACAGAATCCTCCTGGATAATACTGTTTTTAATTAAACGCTATTAAAAGCATTGTGTTTTTTTTTTTCTTCATTGTATTTTCAATGCATATTTGTGGTGAACTTATGGTGGGCTGCCTGACAGAATGGCCACAGGCTGATCCTCTCTGTACTAAAATGGCAGCTGAGCTGATTGCATGTATAATTCAGTACAATGTATTTTTCCATCAGTTTGAGGCTCCGAAAAGGATACTGACGGATCAAAGAACAGAGTTTGTCAATGTGGTAATTTTGAAAATAATAAATAATAAAATAAAATAATAAAAATAATTTGAAAAATGATTTTAGTCGTGTAGAGGTTCCTTGGCCCCACAACATGATACAATATATGAAGGAATCAGAATGCATGAAACAGTTGCAGAATGTGAACCATTTTTATTTTGCAAACTACAACGTAGTAAATACCGAACTTAAAAAAAAAACTATTTCAACAACTTTAACATTGCCTCCTTTTTAAAACAAAATAAAATAGTTAATACTATAAACTGACATAAAATACTCAAAGTATTTAAAGAGATTTTTCTCAAATGTTCTTTTGCACAATTAAGAAACAAATTGTCACAAATTGCTGTGAGCCATTTTATGTTGCTCTGTTACTTCGTAGTTTTTTTCAGGTATCTGAACTTTACTTGAGCATTTATTTTTATTTTATTATAAGGACTTTTTACTCTTACTCCGTACATTTCTACACAAATATCTGTGCTTCCTACTACATACATTTTGAAAACAGGCATGTTGCTTTAGTTTGAATGCAATTGAGGGGAATTGATCATTACAGTCACAGTTACAGTTACAGTTACAGCCATTATGTACACATGCATTACACGCTATGCGCAGAGGGAGCACAACCAAAACAGCATAATGATCATTAATCATAATAATCATAATGTTATATACAGGCTTGGGGAGTAACATATTACTTGTAACTTATATAATCAGGATACATATAAAGGTAACCCTAATCCATTACAGTCACTGAAAAAAGAGGTTCTCAATTACACTTGCATTTAGTAAAAATAGGGGTTATTTAACCGGATTACAATTTTACTGTAATTTACAATTTACTCTGACCAGAGGACAGTTTTTATAATTTTTTTTCTGTTTCCATCTGCTTTTCTAAATTCCCATTTTTCTGTTGTCTTACAGAATACACTTGCATCAATACTTCTTATTGAGAACAGAACAGAAAGTAACAGAAAGTAATCAAATTACGTTACTTTAATATTGCCATACTTGGATTAGGTTACTGACTACATTTTTTAACAGGTAATTAGTAAATGTATTGGATTACAGTTTGAAAGTAGCCCC